ACTCTGACACTGAAAAAAGTTCTTTCTAACGTCTCTGTGGCTCATTTGGGTACTCAGCTTCCACCTGTGTCCCCTTGTTCGCGTCCCACCAGTGTTGAAAAGTTCATCCTTGTTTACCCGGTCGATTCCCCTGAGGATTTTGTAGGTTGTGATCATGTCCCCCCTTACTCTTCTGTCTTCCAGTGTCGTGAGGTGCATTTCCCGCAGCCTTTCCTCATAACTCATGCCTCTTAGTTCTGGGACTAGTCTAGTAGCATACCTTTGGACTTTTTCCAGCTTCGTCTTGTGCTTGACAAGGTACGGGCTCCATGCTGGGGCCGCATACTCCAGGATTGGTCTTACATATGTGGTGTACAAGATTCTGAATGATTCCTTACACAGGTTCCTGAACGCCGTTCTGATGTTAGCCAGCCTCGCATATGCCGCAGACGTTATTCTCTTTATGTGGGCTTCAGGAGACAGGTTTGGTGTGATATCAACTCCTAGATCTTTCTCTCTGTCTGTTTCATTAAGTACTTCATCTCCTATTCTGTATCCTGTGCCTGGTCTCCTGTTTCCACTGCCTAGTTTCATTACTTTGCATTTACTCGGGTTGAACTTCAACAGCCATTTGTTGGACCATTCACTCAGTCTATCCAGGTCATCTTGTAGCCTCCTACTATCATCCTCTGTTTCAATCCTCCTCATAATTTTTGCATCGTCGGCAAACATTGAGAGGAACGAATCTATACCCTCTGGGAGATCATTTACATATACCAGAAACAGTATAGGTCCAAGGACTGACCCCTGCGGGACTCCACTTGTGACGTCTCGCCAATCTGAGACCTCACCCCTCACACAGACTCGTTGTCTCCTGTTGCTTAGGTATTCCTCTATCCACCGGAGTACCTTCCCTCTCACTCCAGCCTGCATCTCCAACTTTCGCACTAGCCTCTTGTGTGGCACTGTATCAAAGGCTTTCTGACAATCCAAAAATATGCAGTCTGCCCACCCTTCTCTTTCTTGCCTTATTTTTGTTGCCTGGTCGTAGAATTCAAGTAACCCTGTGAGGCAGGACCTGCCATCCCTGAACCCATGTTGATGCTGTGTTACAAAGTTCCTTCGCTCCAGATGCTCCACTAGTTTTTTTCGCACAATCTTCTCCATCAGTTTGCATGGTATGCAGGTTAGGGACACTGGCCTGTAGTTCAGTGCCTCCTGTCTATCCCCTTTCTTGTATATCGGGACTACGTTAGCTGCTTTCCAAATATCTGGCAGTTCCCCTGTTTCCAGTGATTTGTTATACACTATGGAGAGTGGTAGGCTCAGTTCTCTTGCTCCTTCCTTTAGAACCCAAGGGGAGATTCCATCTGGGCCTATAGCCTTCGTCACGTCCAACTCTAGTAAACACTTCCTTACTTCCCCACTGGTAATCTCAAACTCTTCCAGTGGTTCCTGGTTAGCTATTCCCTCACTTACCTCTGGAATTTCTCCTTGTTCTAAGGTGAAGACCTCCTGGAATTTCTTATTCAATTCCTCACACACTTCCTTGTCATTTGTAGTGAATCCTTCCGCCCCTATCCTTAATCTCATAACCTGTTCCTTTACTGTTGTTTTTCTCCTAATGTGGCTATGCAACAATTTAGGCTGAGTCTTTGCCTTGCTTGCGATGTCATTTTCGTATTGTCTTTCTGCCTCTTTTCTCATCCTGACATATTCATTCCTGGCATTCTGGTATCTTTCTCTGCTCTCCAGTGTCCTGTTATTCCTATAGTTTCTCCATGCCCTTTTACTTTGCTGCTTAGCTAGCCTACATCTTTGATTAAACCATGGGTTTCTCATCTTCATTTCTCTGTTTTCCTTTTGGACTGGGACAAACTTGTTTGCTGCGTCCTTGCACTTCTGCGTGATGTAATCCATCATATCTTGGGCCGTCTTTCCCCTGAGCTCTGTTTCCCATGCTATATCTGTTAGGAATTTTCTTATCCCCTCATAGTTTCCCTTTCGGTATGCTAACCTTGTGTGGGAGTGTGTGCGTGCATGCGTGCGTGGGTATACACACACACACACACACACACACACACACAGGTGGGTACTAGGTGAGTACACACACCAGGGGACGTACTCGGGGGTGCCCGGTATAGACTCCTTCCCCAACACCGCATCCCCCATCTTTTCTTCCCGTCCACCATTTAACCGTCTTCCCTCTCATCTCCCCCTCTTTCCCCTTCTCCTCACCCTCCCCCCCCCCTCACCCTCACATCCTTCTCACAATCCTCCCCACTCTTTCACCCCTTTCTCTTCCACGTGTGACGTAAATCCTCGAACCCAGTGGTTCCTGGGAGAGTAGGTCTCTCTCACCACCACCACCCATACCACCCGTGTTATTTTTCCCTTTCCCCATGTCCCCCCATTTCCCCACTTTCATTCCCACTTCCCTATTTCCCCCATTTTTTAATTTCCCTCAACCCTCACCCCCATCTCTCCCCTTTACCCTTGAACAGATAGACATTTTCATTTATAAATATAGAGTACACGATGAAAATGCACGAGTGACGGAAGGAGGAACTTCACATTCTACGGACATCACATCCATGATTTCATCCCATTTCCATAAAAATCGCTCGTGGGTGTTGGACTCAAGATACAATAAATTCTTTCCATCTATCGTTCACTGCATATTCACCTACTGTCCCTAACCTAGTAATTTTAATAAAGTCGTCTCATATAATGGATGTATTTTGCATAGACTTATTTTACAGTTTCATATATTTGCAAACATTGAGAGGAACCAGTCTTTTTCCTCTGGGAGATCATTTATATATATCAGAAATGGTATAGGTCCAAGGATTGATCCCTGTGGGACTCCACTGGTGATGCCTCGCCACTCTGAGACCTCAGCCCTCACAGTGACTCTCTGGCTTCTGTTGCTTAGGTACTCTCTTATTCAATGGAGTACCTTTCTTTTCACTCTTGCCTGCATCTCCAGATTGTGCACTCGTCTCTTATGTGCTACTGTGTCAAAGGCTTTATGGCAATCTAAAAATATGCAGTCTTATTTCACAGTCAATCACTGTGCAACACAGTAGTTGCCAGGATTAGGTTGGGTTACCATTACCTGTGGCAGGTGGCTATAGGTGATGCATCTCCCAGTCCTGAGCACTCCAGGTGCAAACTCTGTGAGCAGGAACTACGGCATGATCTCATACTCTACATTAATGAATGCACGTACAAACTTTAGATTTATTCAAGACATGCAAATTTGTTCATATCAAATAGAAATGAAGTCTTCGTTAGCGAGATCGTATTAATACTGAAGCCATTTCGTATTTATCACTTTTTAACCTTTAAGACCACGCAACTTAACGAAGCCGATGGCGTTTGGTTTGACTGTGAAATATCGCTAAACTTTGCCAATGGCACGAAGTGTTTTGATCAGCTAAATGGTACGTTTGAAGTGATAACAGTTTTTTTAGTACCCAAAGCTGTATGTGAATGGTTGATTTAGCCAATATGTAGCCCCAATAGGCTCAAGTACCCGTACACGGTTGTAGAATTTATACAGGACAACATATTCTAGTTGTCCTCTAACATTTATACTGAAAGATGTCTTGAATGCTTTCTTGCTCAGGTTCCTGAAGGCATGAAGATCATTTGCCAGCTTTTTTATATTAAGAGCTGCTTTGTCAACTTCATGTCTTTTCTGATGCATTGGTGTTTCCGGGTTCTGGCGTGTTATTTTCGAGGGCTCCTTACTCTTGTCCCAAATATCCTCACCATGCCATTCTTTGGGTTTAAATCGAGTATCTCAATTTTAAATCAGTTCTCTAATTTGTTCTTGCCCTTCTTGAGAATTTTGCTATTCTCACTTCTGACTCTTTTCATCCGTACTTTCGTGAAGAATCCTACTTGCGTAGTTTGGACATTGCTAAATCACAAACATCATAATCCTAGTGATGATTCCTCTGGTGATCTGCTTGGTATTCCGCTTTGTTTTGGCCTCTCCTCTCTCACTATTACCATCAGTTTTAATTAACAAAATGCTTATTTTAATAAGTGTTAAATTACTATTGTTAAAATAAGTTTTAACTGACCAAGTACAACACGATTTTACTCTCGAATCTCAAATATTTATTGGAGCCCTTGTTGATGAAGAGAGTCGAATGCTTTCTAGTACTCCATGAGCATGTAGTCAGTCTATCCTTATCTTCCTTGTTGACTGCCATCTTGTCATACTAGTGGAACTCGAGCAGATTCACCGGTCAAAACCTTCTCTCCGTTATTCCATGTTGCTGCTTTGTTGTGAAATTATTAATTTCTATATACTCCACTTGACTGTTGATTAATTTCTCTAGTTCTTTAGAGAGTAAGTGCTAATGATAGAGTGTATAATCAGCTGTAAGGGGAGCTCTATTTCTAGATCACTTGGGCTCAGATTCCTTGACTCCTCATATGCCTTGCTTTCCGGTGAAGTCATTCAAGAGGGGTAAGCCTCTTTCCGTTGACCACCGAGACTGGTATGTTAATAGATTACTTAGCACCCCATGCATGAAGTTTGAAGACAGGCATTCGCAAATTTAATATTCACTTTGGTATTAAAGGAAGACCCTAGACACACTAAGATAAAAGGTCCAGTCATTGCTTGAGGATCCCCAGACGAAGGATGAAAGCTTAGAAACGAGACCTAAAACCCGGGTTTACTTTCATCGAAGTAATTTGTCCCGCGATGATTCCCGGAATAGTCTGAACACCGCGGTATAAGAAGATATAATGAGAGATAGAAACAGTGAGAGGGAGAGGGAGATAAACGGCACGATTGACAAACATCAGATAAACACTGAAAACAGTCAGGTAATCAGACAGGAGAGACAGACATCCAGCCATCCCGTCAGCCAGCCAGCCAGCCAGCTAGACAGACAGACAGGCCAACCCACACCACAATTCACATGTTTCTCCTGCTGTGCCTGACTGCGGTCGCTCCCTCGCCACATGTCGCACAACACACAATAAAACGCAGGAAGTCATTATACAAATCTTTATTAAATCAGAAACATAAATACTGTGATGCCGTTTTCTTCTATACACATTTTGTTTGGATTTCTCATTCGTTGTGATTTTGAGATAATTTTTGTTATTTTTGTTAAGGATGACTGGATAAAGGAGAACCTAGCGATTGTAAGGAGAAAGAGCGAGAGAATAATGGATAAATATGATCAAACAAGATATGAATTTAAAGGGATAAGAAGATGTAAATTTAAAAGACGAGAAACAATATAAATATAAAGGAAGAAATTCTTTTAAGATATAAAAAAGAGAAAGGTATGTATTTAAAGGTAAATAAAGATGTAAATTTATTGGTAGAGATGTAAATTGAAGGGAAGATATTCGTTTAGTTTAAACGAATATCTTATTAATATATAAGAATAATAAACGTATTATTTAAAATAATAAGTTTAAGAGAGAAAGATGCAAATATAAAAGGAAAAAATAATTTTATGGGGTAGATAACTATATAAATTAAAGATATAAGAAAGATGTCTAATTAAATGCTGAAAAATTTGTCCACATATTAGGGGCGAGAAAGATGACTAAGGAATTAAAAAAAATAGTTTTAAGGGTTAGACTTTTGTAATGAAAAACAAATTATAAATTTTAAGAGAGTCTAAGTGGCATGGAATTTCATACGAGAGGGAGAGGAGCAGTGGGGGGGAGGGTCTGTGGGGACTTTTCGAAAATCACAAACGTAGTTGTACTTACAAAGTTATGAAAATCAATTTTTTTTATTTGCATTTTTCACAAGATTAGAGCTGGCAGGAACTGCTGCGCCTCGCTCGGGGCTGAACAGAATTCATTTAGATATTTTTAAAAGAGGAAAATAAATAGAGAATTAAAATTTAATGTAAAATTACAGATAATTAGAATTTCCTTTTACTTATAGTAATACCAATGATTACATTAGTGAAAACATTAGTTACAATAATTATGATCAGAATTATTATTATTACAGTAATAGCAATTAAGAATAATAAACAACATATATGTAAAATAATAAAATAATTCATAATAATTTTTATTTTGTTGAAATAATATAATAATGAAAAACAAATAATGAGACTCAATAGGCCTAACAAATCCAAGGACCCAGTACAAATGAATATTGTTGACCCCGTTATAGATGCGACCTTTTTTTTTTATTATTATTCAGTTGTCCTGCCTTCTTTAATAGAATGATTTCCTTGGATGGAGGAAAAGCAGAGTTCTCTTTTCTTCTTTTTTTTACAGTAAAAAGTTACAAGAGTGACATAGGCGCTCGGAATGGCAGGATCCACCCCCCATGGGTATGTTCGTGCCAACTGTTTACTGATGTGACAACGGTAAACTGACGACTGATAGCAGTATACCTAGGTCTGATAACGGTATACATAGGTCTGACAACGGTTTACTGCTATGACAACGCTTAACTGGCGTCTGACAACGGTATACCTAGGTCTGACAACGGTATACCTAGGTCTGACAACGGTTTACTGCTGTGACAACGGTAAACTGGCGTCTGACAACGGTATACCTAGGTCTGACCACGGTTTACTGCTGACAACGGTATACTGGCGTCTGACAACGGTATTCTGGTGTTGGCCAATTTTGTACTGAAATACTGGTGTCTGACAACGGAATTCTGGTCTATAAAACTGATATACTGATGATTTACAGCAGTATATTGATGTCTTAGAGCAGTATACTGATGTCTTAGAGCAGTATACTGATGTTTTAGAGCGGTATACTGATGTTTCACAGGAGTATACTAATGTTTTATAGCAATATACGGATGGTTTAGAACGGTATACTTGTGTTTTTGAATGGTATACTGATGTTTTAGATCAGTATACTTATGTTTTAGAGCAATATACGGATGTTTTAGAATGGTATACCGATGTTTTAGTACGGTTTACTGATGTTTTGAAGCAACGGATTGTTAGAACGGTATATTGATGTATTAGAACGGTATACTGATGTTTTAGAACGGCATACTGATGGTTCAGAGCAGTATACTGATGATTTAGAGCGGTACACTGATGTTTTACAGGAGTATACTGATGTTTTAGTGATGTTTGACAAAGATATACTGATGTTTTAGAGGTATAGTGATGTTTGACAAAGATATACTGATGCTTGAGATCGGTGTACTGGAGTCATACAATAATATACTGATATCAACGGCATTGTGGTATTTGACAAGGCATACTGGTGTATAATAACGGTATAGTGATGTTTGACAACGGTATATTGGTACGTGACAACGGTACACTGAAGTCTGGCAACATTATACTTGGGTCTTACAAGATTATACTGCAATGTGACAACGGTATACTAGGATGTGGCAGCGGTGTGCTGGTGTTTGTCAACCTTCAACAGAGTCTGACGATGGCAAAATAACATCAGATCTAATGTCTACCATTGGCAACATGCATGGCAACGTGTTTACCATTGTCACTATGCATGACAACGGCCCTGTGTCTGCCAATAGCACCATGCGTGACAACGGCCTGGTGTTTGACATGGCACCACACATGGCATCGGCGCTGTTTACCAATATCACCATGCATGACAACGGATCAATGGTACCGTTCTTGACAACGGTCAAGAACGGTGGCAGTGTCTACTAGTGTCACCATGTGTGACAACAGCCGTATATCTACCAATGGCAGGATGATTCACTGAGAGAATATGGTGTCATATCCTGCAGTGAGAGTAAGGATTTCACATCACTGACACCCACACAGCGCCCAGCAGTGAGGAGAAACTCTCCTTTACTGTCAGGGGCTACGCGAGGCCCTCGAACCAGTGCCACGCCGTCACCCTGGGGGGCTGCCTCGCTACCGGCGCTTGCTTCACATGACATGCAAGACTCCTCTCAATGCTATTTATGGTTAAAACAAATTAGATACTTCACAGAGAAAGCATCATCGCGCACTACATAAATATTCCGGAAACCACAGAAATATTCCTTACCCTGGCCAGGGATGGTGACCTTGCTCGTGAAGTGGCAATTGGACCCGAGACCCATCATATGAGGTCATTTTCCTCTGCTTCATTGCTAGAGAACCTGTCCTCTCTCTCTGTTTCTCTCTCTGGACTGTCTCAGTGACCTCACTGCCACTCGGGTCACGCTGGGGAGTAGTCACAAGTTACACCAATGAGAGCACACATAGTTATACAACAAATCAGAAATATACTTTATAAACTGTCTTTTAACTTATTTTACGTAGAAATGCATTCATCTCTTAAAAACGGTGTTGGCCAGGGTAATGCAACAGGGAAACACGTTATAATAAAAATAGCCGACTAGTAATTATAGAGATAAACAATTTGACATTCACTTATCTACAACTCGCTTCTCGAACTGTACAGGCCACGAGCGCCAATAGTGACAAGCAACACCCAACCTCCCGTCCCAATGCCAGGTCGGGCGAGGTCTGCACTTTACATTGGCTCATGTTTTACACATTATTCACTGTTTAGTAGATGCTACTAATATCAGAAACCGACTTTAAAAGCCAGGGGTTAATTTGAAGTTTCTAAAAAGAGGACTTATAAGTCCGAACTTGCCACTGCGCAAAGGAAGAGAAACAAGAGGACTGCACTACTCGCCCACTGCTGCAGGAGCCAAATGTGATCTGACTGAACCAAATGCATACGGTCGAGTCCTCAGCATCATCGTGTGTAACGAAAGAGTTTATTATTAGGTTCCCAGAGGGTTGTGTCCATGTCGGGTGCGTGGGTGGCACAGAAGACTCGGTTCTGCAGTCCCTTGAGAGACCAGCGCTCCGTCTCCCGCGCCCCTCAAATAAATAGTGACCTCAGTAAGGTAAACATCACAGTGTCAGTGGAATGAGGTGAAGAGTACGCTGGAGTATTGTGAGTGTGGCGACCCACACCCTGGACACACTGCCTATCACTAGCACCTGAAAGACTTGGACGCCGGCTGGGCTGTGCTGTTGGTCCGCGCGACGGCTGCGAACACCGCATCAGGTAGCGCCCGAGGAGGAGGCCAGGTGGTTGGGTAAAGACCCTAGGTACCCACTGCTTAAGCCTCCATCCCCGCACCCTATTTGGCCAGCCCCACCTCTTCCGCTGTTGATCCCACTGGAGGCGCTTGATACGCCTTGAGAGGGGTACAGGTAGGCGCCGCTGTAGGAGGGTTGAGGGTCCGCCGCCTCCATTGGTTGGGTGGCGGAGAAGGCAGCGACGCCCTCGCGGCTGAGGCTGGCAAGCAAACTGTTGCGGCCGTCGGCGGAGGCGTGTCCCTAGGCCATCGCGCCTACTATACTGTTGGACGACGAAAGACCTAGGCTCGACGCGGAGGGGATCTGGATCTGTGAGGTGGAGGAGAGGCCGAGTCCCACGCCCGACATGGCCGACATGCCGTGCATGGGCGGCGCCGACATGAAGCCGCCCGCCATGGAGGAGCCGTGCATCTGGCCGCCGTACATGTAGTGAGACATGGAGCCGAACCCGGAGCCTCCAGTCCCGAAGCCACCGAAGCCGCCCTTGTCCAGCGGCTTCAACATGTCCGGGAAGCCTAGCATCCCCTTCTTCTTCTTGGACTTGGAACTCAACTTGCGGTTTCGGGTCTGAATGCCTTCCTTCTTCATGGAGAGCGGCCTAGGCACCTGAAAAAAGACAAGGAAAATAATTAATAATTAAAAAAATTGTAACCAAACCATTGAAATCCTCACAATGTACCTTCCAGAGCATGGCATCCATTGCTCTCCTCGGAGATACTAAAGCATCCAAATTGAAGTTTTACAGTCTGAGAAAATCGGTTGTCCACAACAACTTGCTGGACTGAGCCAGCGAGCACATGTGGGTTACTTGGGCCCAGGATCTTTTATTGATTATAAAATTTGTCAAATGCTTTATAATTATCAACGAAGGAATAAATAGAGAGAATAAATTTATAAATAAACAACGAGAGAATGGAACTGCCCTATGAGCTGAAATAATGGCCTCCACCACCAATAAAATACATAGAGTAACTAGTTTTGCATCCAAATTGGAATTGAGAGGTGTCAAGATTGTCAACTGAAGTTAATGAGTATATAGTCAAATTGTTCAACAGTGTGTTACAGGCAATGTCAGTGCAGTTATCACATGTTGAAATGGATGCTTAAGAGTTCCTTGCAATGGGAAGAATTACAGACGTGTTTCTTTGAGCTAGCGATGTATCACGGGAATCACGGGAAAGCCTATTAGACAAATAATAACTACTGTTGGACGTGTCTTTTTCTATTTCACCAGTATCAAAGCTTTTCCTCCATATAATACAACAGCTACTTAGAATGAGAGAACGAGTCGACCGTTACAGCTCATGGAGGCGCTGACGACATTAGATTTCCACATCAGGTACGGGAGTGGAGACGCGGAGGGAGCAAGTCGTTAAAAACAACTCTTGGAAGCTTTGAGGGAGGGCGAATTATCTACAACGGCACTGTGGGAGAGGGTCGTCCACATGAAGCTCCCGGGGATGAGGCAACGGGGTTTCAAAAGTTTCAAAAAAGTTTTTGAGTTTCAAAACGCTACTGCTGCTCTCTAGAGTGGAGTACTGCTGTACAATGATAGCCCCTTTCAAAGCTGGAGAAATTGCTGACCTGGAGAGCGTGCATAGATCCTTTACTGCTAGAATCCACTCAGTAAAACATCTAAACTACTGGGACCGACTAAAGAGCCTAAATCAGTATTCTCTTGAGCGCAGGCGGGAGAGATACATAATAATTTACACGTGGAAAATAATAGAGGGGCTGGTCCCAAACCTGCACACAGAAATAACATCACATAAGACCCAGGAGGCATGTCAGGATGTGCAGAATATCCCCGTTGAAAAGCAGAGGTGCAACAGGTACTCTGAGAGAGAACTCTATCAACATTAGAGGCACGACACTGTTCAACACGCTTCCACTACACATAAGGGCCATAACTGGCCGACCCCTCACAGTGTTCAAGAGAGAACTGGATAAACACCTCCAAAGGTTACCTGACCAACAAGGCTGTGATTCGTAAGTCAGGCTGCGAGCAGCCGCGTCCAACAGCCTGGTTGATCAGTCCAGCAACCAGGATACCTGGTCGACGACCGGGCCGCGGGGACGCTAAGCCCCGGAAGCACCTCAAGGCAAGGTAACGGGTGATCCTCAACAACTGCTGGAGTAACTGACGGAATGGATCCTCCACAACAGCTCCTTTAGTTGCTGAGGTAGAGGGTCGTCCACACCAGTTCCTGTAGTTGTTGAGGTAAGGGGTCGTCCACAATAGTTCCTGTAGTTGTTGAGGTAGAGGGTCGTCCACAACAGTTCCTGTAGTTGTTGAGGTAGAGGGTCGTCCACAACAGTTCCTGTAGTCGTTGAGGTAGAGGGTCGTCCACAACAGTTCCTGTAGGGTTTGAGGTAGAGGGTCGTCCACAACAGTTCCTGTAGTTGTTGAGGTAGAGGGTCATCCACAACAGTTCCTGTAGTCGTTGAGGTAGAGGGTCGTCCACAACAGTTCCTGTAGTTGCTGAGGTAGAGGGTCGTCCACAACAACTTCCAGCCCTAAGTGAACGGGTGGTGCACAACAGCTCCCGACTGGCAGCCATCACCATAAACCCGGCGCCCACACGTCCCACGTAAACACCATAGCCCGTATTGTAACAGCCGGCCACAAGCCATTAATTTGGCCGCTGGCTGGGGGAACACGACAACCCCATTGTCAATGGTATTCCAGTCACTCGGGGAAAACAACGTTGGATGCTCCAAAAGTATTTTATTTTCCCCTTTCGTAACACAATTGCAAGTTAACTGTATGAAAACAAAAATGCGTTATAAACGACCAACGGCAGATTTATATAAGTGAAATTATTTAGTGGGATACGTCGGAAGCCATCGGCCATCCTCTTGTTCCTGATACGTGATTGGTCGATGGATAACAGGTAGTGGTCGGTGATTGGCGGAGAGATAGTGAAGGCGGAGGCGGCGATAAGACCGGTGATTGTAGCTCTTCCGGGGAGGGGCGCGCCCTCCCCTGTTATGGTCTCCGGGGATATTAATGACAGGGGGAATATCTCTGACATTCACCCCTTCCCAGAAGTAATCGTCTGCTGGGTTTGATTCTGCTGATAGTTTACAAAGTTTAATTGGATTTATTTTTTGTATTGTTTGGGATTTTACATTTTTTGTAGTGGACGCTATTTGCTCGTTTGGAAAGAACTGTTGTTCAATTATTTTTCCTTTTTTATATAAACAAATTATTATTTAACCCTGGTTTCTCTCTCTCTCGTGTTAATTGAATTTAATACACTTATGAGCATTTACACTGCATATAGAATTTGTGATTAAGTACCGTGTCTGGCTGCACTTCCTATAATCGAAAATTCTGTAAATAATAGGCTATTGAGCTTGCGAAATGGGGTTATTGGGCAAGAACCGCTCCAGGTCTATGATACCCGCAGCCTACTGAGCAATAACACTGCAAGGTTTTCCATGCATGAGACACATTAAGCAAGATTGAAGATGTCTCTCAGTGACCACCACTGTTTTCTCTAACGAGAAAACACGCCTAAATAAGGGAGAGGCCTCATACGCTATAGACATCTGATGCAGAGGTTCATTGAAAATATTTCTTTCCTTTTGCTCGAGCGCAGTAACACTTCTCCGGCCTCCTCTTCAGTTATCCCTATATTAACTAGTACGCGATTAGTAAACATGAAAGGGAGAGTGAGAGAAATCGTCTCTCAGACATGTATTTTCTAGCGAATGTTTTGCCCCTGTATTTTTACTGTATGTATTCCACCTGTATAGTACTCACGTCCATTATGTGTCCAGTGTCTAGCTGTATACATCCATGTATTTCTTTTGCAGTGAAGGTTCCTCGTTCTTTCACATAATTATTTAATTTGTGATTATCTGCATGTTTTCTCTCAGCCAATGTTTTTTTTTCCAATATTTTGCTCTGCTCTCATCAATCACATTTTTCTTCCTCTCATTCACTTTTTTCCTTCACCCAAGATGTTTTTCCATCCTTGTGATTCCTCCTCCCGTATTGCCTTTACGTCTTTATCTTTATAGCTTCTCTTCTGTTTCCCAATCTACACCTTTATCTTTTCCTCATTCCTTATATAGTTCTTCCTCCTTTTCTCCTCCCTCTTTCTCTTCAACTTCTTCGTCCTCTTGTTCCACTTTCTCTTTTCCTCCACTTTCGGTTCATCTTATGCTTCCGTTTTTCCTCCTCACTTATTTTTCTTCCTCCTCCTTCTTCTTCTCTTCCTGAATCCTCTTCTCATTATTTATTTTATCTGTTGCTACTCCCTAACGTCTCTTCCACTTTCCTACCCACTCTACTCCTTTTTCTCTCTATACGTGTTCTTTCGTCTTGATCACTACCAATGACCAGGTGAGGCCGCTGAGTTGATGCCCACCCTCAGTACCGTTTATGACTCGTCCTCTGTACCGTTCACTACCCTACACATGCAGTAATATATAATGTTGACCAGACCACACACTAGAAGGTGAAAGGACGACGACGTTTCGGTCCGTCCTGGACCATTCTCAATCGACTTGAGAATGGTCCAGGACGGAACGAAACGTCGTCGTCCCTTCAACTTCTAGTGTGTGGTCTGGTCAACATACTTTAGCCACGTTATTGTGACTCATCGCCTGAATATATAATGTCCAATCATTAGACCTTTCAGACCAAGCTGTATGGGGTACCTGGAGCATTGCCTTTACTTTATTAACTCTCGTGTTCTTGAGGATATCCTCATAATGCACCCAAAGCTTGTCAGTGCAGGCTACTGATCACTCAGCCGTATATAACTAACCATCCTGAGAGATGGGAGATTTGCATCAGGTAGCTTCAGCGCTTCATTCAGCTTTATTCCTCCTCTCTTGACACACTTTGTCACCCTTTATATTGACTTAGGCAGCTGATGTACCTAAATACGAAGAAAAAATGAAGGTCGATTCTGGACACCCAGGTAAAAACACGTTCGCATCGGGGTTGCTGATCCCTTTGTCATGAACGCACTATATTTTGTTGTGCAGTCGGCCTTAACGTAAACATTGTGGGGGATTAGGGACATTGTAAACACCGCAGTATTAACGCTACATTGACCTAATGAGAATCGGTTCCGGTAGGTTAGGTGGACAGTCGAGATTCCTGACACTTTTGGTTTTTGGTGTTCCAAAACGAATTAATCACCATGAGAAGGGCAGGACGAGCTGGGTGGAATCTGGAAACTCAGATTCTTTACATAGAGATGTATAGAATTCTTTTAGGGTAAGAATAGTGACTGGAAGGAGCTAGGATTAAAAGTATTTAAGTCTAGTTCGATTTACACAACCAATTGGGCTCGATGATAGAGCGAAGGACAAGAAGGACAAGGTAGAACAAGCCAGTTTGAACATGAATATACTTCTGAAATTGTCTTGTACAATCAGTGTTGAAAAGCACTGATTCAGATTGTCGTAATTCAGATTTTCATTTAATTGATTGCATTGATTTGATTCACATTGATTTCAGATGTTGAAATCAGAGTTAATTAGTGTTAAAACAGGACTGCTATCTACCTATGAATTCTAACTACAGTCTCCATCTCCCTATTATTCCTGTTTCATTCCACCTCTTAACAATCTTGACACTGTGT